TAAGGTAACTTAAAGTAGGGTAGAGAAGCATTTAAAAAAAAACTCAATTACTACTTGGATGCGTATATTGAATCGATGGGTTTGTTGTGTGTTTCCAGTATTTGTTATTTTACTGTTTTGACATTTTGAACAACAGGCTAAGAGTATTAAAATGCATATGCAAGCAAGACCGGTCTGGCTTTATCCGCCTTCGTCATTTAATCGTTGTGTAAATAGCGCAATGAAGACCCAGGAACAAGACGCTAAAAAAATCAAATTTAGCAGTTACATTTTTTTAATTTTACGCCATTCGTTCTCCGCTATATTGTTCTTATAATGTATATTGTTGTCATTTTTATTTCGCAAATAAGGAAAGACATAATAATGCAAATAATAAAACATAAAATTAAAATAAAGATTCAATTAAACGAAATGCCAATTCAAGTTTATTTCATCATCATCATCATCATCAGTTATATCATATTATCTTGTACCTGTTATACAAAAATTGCAAACGTTATTGTTCCGTAGGCAACTTGTGACAAATTCGTAAAAAATCACATTGAAATTAATAATTCCTATACACATTTTTACGGTTTTATATATAGAAAGACGTATATTACATTGTTTTGATGAATAAATATTAGAAATAAAAATAGGAGCGGGTTTTTCTCTTTGTGATGCTTCTATATTTTGTATTGTTTTGTGTATGATATTTATATACACCTCAAACGATATCATAATATAATATAGTCTTAAATGTTATTTATTCACGTCACGGCGTCAGTTTTAACGGAGATAAGATATCTGTTATTATAGGTAACACGCTAGCACATGAGTAAAGAAAGCCCTTACTCTTTGACACGAGTGTGAACGAAAGCACAGGTGCACTATTCCCTTATTAATATAGTCCGATGGGAAGACAATTCGACACGACCGAAGAGTGAGGACCTACGGCTTTACGTGATGTGGCAGAGAGTGAAATACCGCTAACTTCCTGACTCTGGGCTGTTACTGAGAATTTCTTGACACGATAAACCAAGTAAATGATTTTGCCCGACTCGAGATTCTAACCATAGGTCAGCGATTGCTGATACGACTACTTGACCAACGGGGCAGTCGAATAATAAAATATAATAGAATATTTTTCTATAAATATTATATAAATAATCAAATCTTTTATTATATAGACGCTAGTCTTGAAGCCTATGGTGTTTTTCTTCTTTATATAAAAACGCGCGACAATATCGTTTATTAAAATAATAATAGGTACATACAAAAATACAATCAAATTGAGAACCTCTTCCTTTTTTGAAATCGGCTAAAGATTTCATATAAATCGTAGAGCCGTTTTCGAGAAACTGTTTAATATACGAGAATTGATCGCTTTACTACCTGAGTGAAACATTGAAAATCGTTTTTCAGGTAATATATTTAAAAATTTGATTTTAAAAGTATCCTTGCCTTATCACAAATCGTACCGTATGAATAACTAATTTTGGTGAAACGGTCTCAAGTTTGACTGCAGAGAAGAGAACAGTCGGCGAGCGACAAGCCACGTGACCAGTCCTCTAGCTTGTCAAAGTGTGCAGATAGGTGTCGCTTCGGTGGCTAAACAACGCTAACACGATTTCGCGCCTATGCGCGGTAGATATTAATAATTTAATACTTATTACTTATTGTGTCGTCGTCCTTGTCAATAACTCATACCGCGTCCTTAAAAATAACAGGTTAGTCTTGTAATAATTATAACTAGTTTTAAGAATAACTTAGTTAATATCGCACATAAACGCTTTGTGTTTTCTCTACCAATGCATGTGTCACGTGCGTGCGCTTTCAATGTTTAAATGTTGGCAGCACTGAGCCGGTCGGAAATTTATGTTTACGTACCTATATTGAGTTCTTTTCTTTTTCTCTATGTTCAAGTCATAGATTAAGATAACTCTGTTTACAATAAAATTAAAAAATACTTCAGTATTTTTATGTAAGTTTATGCTGTATGTATTATGTGTGTACTTAAATTTATTAAAAACTGAAACTTTATATAAAATGCCAAACTGTAGAGATACGACTCGATTTATTTCTATATATAGATAATAATATTTGTTATCATTTGTTAATGTTATTATGTCATTTGTTTTAAATAAAATATATATTTCATATTTACCGCAAAGTTTGAACCTTTTTATTATGAAATTCTCGTGATATATTTGTGCCTATTCATCTCTGATATTCATTAATATTGCTCCCATTATAATTTATTTATTGTCAATTATTTTAATAATAAATTTTCTTTAAATAATTAAGATATAACGTTCTTTATCTGACATAAACGAGGAATTTTTTTTTATAGAATAAGGATGACAAACGGACACACGGTCCACCTGATGGTAAGTGGATACCATGGCCTATTGAAACCTGCATTTAACCTCTATTTAGAATAAAAGTGCAGATGCTTTGTCACTTCTGAAGATTAAGATAGAATGCCTCGATTCCAGTAAACTGGTCTCCGGTTCTCTGCACTCATCATACGCAACACCAGCAGTATTAAGGTGCTATTTTACGCTCGTATTCTGAGATAGCGTGGTCCTTGCCCGGTCGAGCCGACACATTCGTGCTACAACCATAATATACTTGCAGCGTGGCCCTACCACGTGTAAAATTATCTTGGTCAATGTTTTTAAAACGTTGATAATCATTTTTATCAATCAAGGTATCGTATTGAAATAGTATAGAGATTAACGGAGCAAGAATATTACCATTTATGAACTACAACCACTTCCATTATATATTATGTGAGTCGTGGATCAAACGGAGACTCGTAAGGTCATAAGTCGAAACTTGCAATATATAATCATACTCAACGTGTTGAATACAAACAGTACCGCTAAAAATTAAGTAAGTTACTTCTTAATTTCTATTACATAAATTTTCATCTAAACAAATAAATGAAGTTAAAGTGTCTTTTTACTAAATATATATGAAAGTATAACTGCCGACATAAGTCGTGAGCACACTTTTTATTGGTCGATACGACGTTGACCACGCTGACGTTCAACGTGATTGGTTCATTAATCGATTCTCGTCGTCTATTGGTTTCGAACGTATCATTCGGCTTCCGTACACTTCAGAGCAATAATTTTAATGATAACTTTTTTAATAAGTTTATTTTCGTTAATTGTTTTTGTCAGCTCGTTGTTAATTGTTGTTTGTGTATTCCTTGTCATTAATTATTTTTATTATTTCTTGTTTTTAATTATTTTTGTTGTTATAATTCAAGTGTTCAGATTTTGGTCTAAATATGCAGAAAAGGAAGAATTCGGTGTTAAATAGACAATCCCGACAAATTTTCTATTCAGTGTTTAGTTACATGAAAAAATTAGGTACTGCGAAAAACATCATAGACGTATATAAACAGACTGCTGAAGCGACTAATGTCTCAGTAGCTACTGTACGGCGCACCGCAACATCAGATTTTATGGAAGGCATATCACCTCTTCCTTCTTCTTAATAAAATAATCAATTCTAACCACCAGTATACATTAAATACTTTATAGTAGATAATAAAATAACGGACATGAATATCTGCAACATTACTGTATCAAAGTAAAAGTTGATGTGTTCGAGTAAACATTTTCATAAAAGTCGGCGAAAATATTAAATTACGAATTGAAATAATAAAGGTATCCAATAATTTTGCCCGACAGTGTACCTACCTCCCACCACAGTTTATCTGTGCTCACCACTCGTGTCGGCAACTATACGGTAGTTATAACAAAAAAAAAAAACAAGTTTTGAAAATTTTGTCTAACTGCCTGTTTTTCTCGCTAAAAGCTCCAAAATGGCTGATGGCGATTTTGACAGGACATCACTGGAAGATTGCTGATATTATAAGGAGTAACTTGGGTTAGAGTACTTTCATTTTAAAAAAATAATTAGAGTTCCGCGCAAAAAATAATAAATCCCATGAAACGAAGACGCAGGGAACAGCTAGTTTTAAATAATATTTTTGATAACAGTATGGCCTACTGACCACCATGGCCTGATGACTGTAATGCTGAGTGGTGCAGGCCCATCCTATGGGTGTCGTTAGAGACGACAGTGGGGATTGCCAGAAAAATCTCATGGCTTTTGATAGATGGTGGTATAACCAAAAGTTATTGTTTTTAGTTTTGTTTATACATGGTAAGTGCATGCTTTGGCCTATAGACTACATCTAATTTTGACTAAAAATTAAAACGCAGATGTATTGTTATAGGGATGCCTCGATACGCCTTTTTACCGATACGATACCGATGCCAATGCTCGTATAGAAATATCGGCGATGCCGATACCGATACCGGTACGCTTATTGAACTCAAAAATGAAGGTAAAATAAATAAAACAAGTCAGGTTATTTTTTTTTAATAATAGAAGAAGAACAAATAACAGGACAAACTAAATAAAACCTTTTAAAACTATAGAAAGGTTGAGATTAATTAATAGTTTTAGTAATTAAAATTAAAATTGATGAGATTTTTGTTTAAAAAACAAAGTATTCTTAAGATTTGCAGAGAAAAGTGATTTCGCAATCTGTTAAATCTGTTTAAATATGACCTGCGGTGGAAAATAGTCTTTCAGATGCGACAGAACTCGAATCGTTTGGAAACTAGAGTACTTTTGCGCCATTTTTTCCACGTTTGGGAGATACCTTCTTCTTTGAGACAATTACAGCTCAGAGTGGACAGCGGAAACAAGGAAACAAGACCCAGCACAGCATATCTAGTTCGTGCTTCGTTTGCAAGGGAATAGATTTTAAAGCGCGAAATTTTAAAAATATCGTTGAATCGGCTATAAAAATATCGCCGATGCCGATATATCGGCAAACGTTCAGTATCGCCGATATATCGGTATCGGTATCGGTACCGGTATCGGATGCATTCCTAATTGTTACTACTGAGAACTAAGATGGAAAGCCTATGGATGAAACCAGACCGGGTTCTTATATATAACCATGCCTCTGAATTTTGTTTCAGTTTATAATGGACTTTATATTTTTATGGCTCGTTACCTTTGTGCTCGGATTTTGGATATTTAAAAAGCTAAAAGAATGGCAAAGTCTACCGCCAGGTCCTTGGGGTTTGCCAATTGTAGGATTCTTGCCTTTTATTGATAGGCATCAACCACATTTGACTTTAACTGAACTTGCCAAAGAATATGGTTCAATATATGGAATTGGAATGGGCAGTATATATGCAGTGGTGCTGTCGGATCATAAGTTGGTTAGAGAAGCATTTGCAAAGGAATCCTTTGCCGGACGTGCACCATTGTATTTAACTCATGGTATAATGCACGGAAACGGTAAGTCATTATAAGTTCACGTAAGGAGTTTCGACTATAGATTAATGAATAGGAAACAGATATGGTCATGCGTAATAATAGGTTTATGAAACCGTATCACTAGTATAAGAATATCCACTACTCTATATCGTCCCGTGAGAACTGAAAAAGGTGACGGGCAGCTGCATTTTCCTGAAAACAGCTTAAAATAATAAAATTGCACTTTCCGACCCGCCTGGCAAGCGTGGCAATTATAGCGAAATCCCTGCTATGAGGCAATCTATGAACGAGACCTATTTTCAGCAGTGGACTTTTATAGGCGGCTATGGGTGGATGTAAGGATTATTATTATTATTATTACTTATGCCATGTATACATTATAGTATGTTTACCTAAAATAAATTGTCACATAAGTTAATTTCGACCAATCTAACTCTGCTGGGCAGCGTTCGGTAGATAACGACACGTCTCGTCACGTATTTCTCAAAAATTGACCAGTGCGTATTGCAGTGGTAGTTTAAGGATCTGAGAGTGAAAACTTAAGGTCGCTCAACGACCTTAGGAGGAGTCTATGCTTTGAGTTTCTCCGCACGATAGACTTCATAATAAGGATATCTGCAGTAATAATAACAATGTCCTCCAGACCGAACTTCGGCCGAATCGACACCTCTCAACGGAGAATAGTTACAAGTATCTGCGGACAGGATTGTAGTGACCGAGTGTACGCGCAAGCTCCAATAGCGCACTCTCTATTCCCTCACTCTCATAGTCCGATTGGGCGGCAATACGACACAACAGCAAAGGGATCAGGTGCAAGACCAACGGTTTTACGTACTTATGAAACACCGCTACCTTCCATTTTCCGCGTTGTTAAAGTTGCCGGCCATATAGCTCGAAGAATCGACAACCGTTGGGAAGAAATGTCCTCGAGTTTAGCCTTGTGCCGGCAAGCGAACTGTAGGCCGGTCCCCCACTAAATGGAGAGATCAACTGGTAAGACATTCAGAAAGTCGATGGATCCGAGTGGCTCATGAATCTGTTTCGCACTTCTCCGGAGGTCTATAATTGGCGGTGTACTTATGCAGGGCTGTATCGCTATAGGGTTAATTTTGATGATGTTGGAGATGCTTAATTTTTAGGTTCCTTTTTGTAGAAAGTATTAAATTTGATTTATTACCGTTCGCCTATTTTGTGAGTGACTCTTCAAAAGATATAAATGTAACATTGAATAATAAAACTTCTGCAATTTAAATGAAAGTCATAGCAAAAGAAAGATTTTTCAGATATTATTAGTTTCATATACACATACACAGTTTTTTTTCTTTAAGGCATTATTTGTGCTGAAGGAGGGCTGTGGAAAGACCAACGGAAATTAATAACAATGTGGCTGAAGAGCTTCGGAATGAGCAGGCACAGTATATCCCGTAGCAAGCTGGAGAAACGTATCGCTTTCGGCGTCAATGAGCTGATTAAAGTACTGATTAAAAATATTCCCTTGTATTTGGTTTAGCAGGCAGCAATGTAGGGCATTCAAGACCATTATCAACGCAACCAATATGATTCAATTTCAATGATTTGTATTTTTTTAGCATTGGGTGACAAACGAGTACACAGTCCACCTGATAGTAAGTGGATGCTGTGGCCCATAGACATCTACATTTGTCCTCAATTAAGAATCAAAATGCAAAGGTGTTGTCATCCCTGAGGAGTAAGATGTAATGCCTCAATTCCAGTAAAAATGGTCTCTGTTTCTCTACACTCACCATACGAAACATAGCAGCATTACGCTACTATTTTACGCTGGTATTGTGTGAGTGCATGTTATTATTATTATAATATAGCTGCAGCCTGGCTCTACCACGTAACAAAAGTAAGAGTTACTTAGCTGAAAGGGCTTACTCATTATATGGGCTTAACATCTTGTTTCTCAGATGAACGCTACGTTTAAGCATTAGGTTAAAGAATGCGCTTTGTGAAATTCCTTGAGGGAGGCCTATGTTTAGCAGTGGACTAGTGAAGGGCTGTAATGATGATGATGATGATGATGATGATGCTGATGCTGATGAATGAATATGCAGAGGTGAATATGCACATGGCACAGGAGCTAAAGATGCTTATTTTCCCAAAATTGCCCCGACTGGTCACTGTGGAGCCTCGACAGTGACCAGTCGGGGCTATTTTCACAAAAGGTTGTTATGTCAATAACCTTAATAATGTTTAAGTTACAGAATTGTACATAATTTGAATTAGGTACATTCAATGAGTTAGCCCCACAGTTTTTCATATTAACAAAAAACCCACATTATTTCTTGAAAGTGACCTTTAATGGCACTGACAAATGTAACCGAGACTTGGTGCAGAAAAAAAACACGATCCTCTACTTTTGTTTTTATAATGCGCTTGCTCGGAAGGCGACCGTCACAGTTGTCGACTGCTTATTTAGGAATATTTTACATGTTATTTACATTTATTCACAGCAAAATATTAAATCTATTTTAAATTTTAGAATGTAAAAGAAGCTTCTGGAACACCTATCGATCTAACGTACATGTTAACTGATTCACTCGGTAATGTTGTTAACGAAATAATTTTCGGGTATAAATACCCTTCTGAAGATAAAACTTGGAAATGGTTTAGACAGATACAGGAAGAAGGATGTCATGAGATGGGTGTAGCGGGAGCAGTAAATTTTTTGCCTTTTGTTAGGTATAGTTTTTGAATGTTTTATTTGACTTACAGCCTAACTAGGCCACTGGACTGGACTGGAATAAAACCTCTTTATTTCAAATCTGTAATAAATCATCTTAAATCATAAATTTATTTTAGGTTCTTTTCACCGTCAACAAGGAAAACAATTGAAATATTAATACGTGGCCAGGCACAAACTCATAGACTTTACGCAGCAATTGTTGAAAAGCGGCGTAAAGTGTTAGGAGTGGCATCACCAGAAGGTGCAAAGTACCCTTTACATGAAAACCTGTTCCATGATCATCCAGATGGATTTATTAAATGTGTTAAATACAGTAAGCATGCATCTGAAACTGAAGAGCATTACTTTAATCCTGAAACTCTGATACCGACAGACGGCGAATGTATTCTCGACAATTTCCTTTTGGAACAAAAGAAAAGATTCGATAGCGGCGATGAGACTGCAAAATACATGACAGACGAACAGTTGTTATATCTCTTGGCGGATATGTTCGGAGCAGGCCTTGATACAACGTCAGTCACTCTCGCTTGGTTTTTGTTATATATGGCTCTGTACCCGGAAGAACAGGTATAATAGACCTTTAAGGATCGTCAGTTGCCTAAGCATTCTACTTTTCATCATAACTGTGTAAATTTAATTTTGTAGCCTCTTCGTGTATTACTGTGAAAATATGTTTTTCAGGAATCTGTTCGAAAAGAGATTTTATCCATTTTAGTAGATGAAAACGATTCTGATTATTCAAAATTACCTCGTCTAATGGCAGCTATTTGTGAAACGCAGCGTATTCGTTCTATTGTGCCCATTGGCATTCCTCACGGATGTACTGAAGTAAGTAAGATTACATTCATATCGTTTTTGTTTAATATCTTAAAATATTAAGATAATATTATATTGATGTAATTTTTATAACAGGATACATATTTAGGAAACTACAGAATTCCAAAAGGCACTATGGTAATTCCACTTCAATGGGCACTTCACATGGATCCTAATGTTTGGGAAAATCCTGAGGAGTTCAATCCTAGTCGCTTTTTAGACAAAGATGGAAATTTACTTAAACCACAAGAATTTATACCATTTCAAACAGGTAAGAGATATTTGTATTTTCACACCCACTTGCGTGATCAACAGTAGCCTAAAGGTTAAAGAATTATTAATATTATATATTATATATATTAATAAGGAAGAAATAGGTAGTCTAAAATTGAAAAGTCGGTACGAATGCAGACTATAGTCGTGTACCTAGCACAAACATCTTTAGCTTAGCTTAGTATTAGGTACAAGTGGTAAAAATACAATTTTTGTACAAACAATTTCAATATAAATAAAATGAGAACATCATCAGTGTATTCGTAGTCAAATAAATATGCATTATTAAGGATAACTCAGAAACTACTGGTCAGATCTTGATCAAATTTATATGGGACCATACGAGAAGCACCAGCTTTCAAATAAAAATCATCAAAATCGGTTCACCTAGGAAAATTTTCAGAGGTAAAACACATTAAAAAAATATACAGTCGATTTGAGTACCTATTCCTTTTTGAAGTCGGTTGAAAAATACTATCTACAACTGTGGTTGTGGTTAGCGTAGATGTTTAATTGACACTATAAAATCAATTCGATGGATTATTACTGGGGGATAAGATTAAAGTCTTAAAAAGTTACCGTTTACGTTTAACCGGTTAACTGTTGACAATCTTTAAAACTTTTACATCTTGTTGCGTAACTGTAGATAAGCGATATGTTAATTTTAGCAGCAAGTTAAATATCCCTTAACTGTTTTTAACCAGTTTGTCTTTGAAAGCCTTGATGAAATGTGTAAATCTAATATATTACTTTAATTCATTCATCTTTTTAAAAAAAATTGAATTGATTGATTGCTTATACCATCTCAGAATCTTTTACTTCAGAAATTTTTGTTTTTAAATCTTTCATTAACATGCATATTTTTTCGATGTGCTATAAGCTACAATTGCGCTATCTTCTTCATTTTACAGGAAAGCGAATGTGTCCTGGAGATGAACTCTCTCGAATGATGTCGTGTGGATTGATTATACGCTTGTTTCGCCATATGCAAGTGAAATTAGCTGCTGAACCTCCAACTGAAGATGAGATGCGAGGGACTGTCGGTGTAACTTTGTCACCTCCAAAAACTTTATTTATTTGTGTTCCTCTTTGATCTTATCATTAATAATTAGTAAATCTTGTTGACACGAGATGATGATAATTTGTGTTTATACGCAAAAATTTATTTCATGTATTAGTAAGATGTAATCAGAAAATAAAACATTTAGCATGAAGTCTTTAGTTTTTGTTGAATCTGTTTACTCTAAACTTTTTTATAATATATTGTGTAATCCTTTGTTGATTGTTTCGACGTTTAGTGTGTGTATTTAAGAACAAAGGGGAAAGAGAGAGAAAGGGATATGTAGATGAAGAAATATTTAGATTTTTTTTGGAATGGATATTTGGGTATTTGAAAAAGTTAAACTAGATTTTAAATTTCTATGAATAATTTCATTTTTTATTTACGCTAGACATTTGTAATAACAAAAACAAAGCGGTATTTACAAAGCAAGACAAAATTGTGGTTTTGTAATAATTTTGTAAGCGGGCATAATATTTTGTAATAATTTTGTTGTTTGTTAAATTTAATGTACAGACTTACAGTTACTTTAATTGTTTATTTTAAACAACTTTGTTGAGGGTTAACTGCCTTTCGAAAAATAATTTATAATTTTTGAGCCCCAAAAAATAACAATAATGAACTTATAGCGATAAAACTACCGCTCTTAGACTAGTTGCTGGTTCTACACTACCATGGAATGTTACTAGGTATATTACACATGATAGGTACAATTATCACTAAATATAATAAACAATGAACACGTGAAAATCTTAACAATTACAAAATCATATGAAACGCAAAACTTGAGATCACACTCAACAGACAACACTCTCACAAGTGGTACCTACTAATAAATAATGATCTAGAATAAACAAAATTATTTTGGTATAGGAAACTAGAGCTTAAGACTTCAGTAAAACAATCTATACTTTTTAATGTTCCATACAATGCATGTGATTTAACTTATCTCACAGATCGAAAATATATAATACTGCAGTCGTACGAATTCGTAATCTCAACGATGGGAATTTACTGTATAAACTAAATTAAAAAGTTCGGTCTACATATAATTGAACACTTTATGCACAGCCTCGACTATCGCTCTTGCGATATCGTCACTTATATATTAAAGACTTAATTTAATTGTCATCGATACGCTCTAAAACGAGTGATCGTTGAATACTGGTGGGTATATGGGTATTGTAGCAAACATGAGCGTAGCTGGGAATCTGCAAAACAAATTTCACAATTCTTCATATAAAGTACTGTATGTCCTAAAGACAACGCGGAAAAAGGATGTGATGGGTATATTGTTTAACTCCGACGTTGTTTAAATAAAAGCAAGTGCTTTATAGTAAAGTTCCAAGCTACGCTCATGACGGCAAATGGAGCTATTTTAGTGGGCTCCAACATGGCGCAAATGCGAGTTGTCAAGCACAAGGGTAGGTGCGCTAGGTGTAACACGAGGCAAGAAGCGCACACGGAAGGCTTTAGGAGAAATTGTCGCCCCAACCGTGCCTTCTAATGATGGTGGTTCGGCTCCTGCTTCCATTTGCACATCAAACTGATGCATCATGCTTGCGAAGAACATAAACATTTCCATACGGGCGAGCACGTCTCCTAAACACATACGGCGACCAACTCCAAAGGGCATAAAGTACTCTGGGCGCTTGATTTTACCGGTGTCATCAATAAATCTGCTAGGATTGAACTTGTTTGGCTCATCCCAGAGATTGGGGTCCATGTGTACGCAATTGATGAGGGGAACAACTTGAGATCCCGCTGGAATTCTGTAGCCGTTAAGGTGAACGTCCCTGTTGAAAGAAAGAGAAATAGTGATTAGAAGATATCTGGAAGAGTTTAATCTGAAATAATGCTATATAATATTTAGAAAGAAAACTTACTTTGTAGGTGAATGTGTGGTGGCTAAGGGGACAATGCTGGACATGCGTAGTGTTTCTAAAATTGTTGTTTCGGTGTAAGGCAGATTGGGCATATCTTCAATAGTAGGTAAACGCTCTCGGCCAACAACACGATCTAATTCTTCTTGAACTCGTCTCTTTACATCTGGGTTTCTTAACATAAAAACAATCATCCACAAAAGGGAAGACTTGATCGTCTCCATCCCAGCAGAAAATAGATCACCGAGAATTTGTTTGATTTGTAGCTCTGAAAACAAAATAACACAAAATATTTAACTAAACTTATATAATTAAAAAAATAAGTGAAAAGCAATATAAAGTGTAGCTATCTATTTACTTTTTGTTTACTTACCATGATCTCTACCTTCGAACAATTCACCGGCTCTACCTTCATTCTTCGCTTTTTCTATTTCGATGAGATAGACATCAATGAGATCTCTGGCGTTATTAACGTCAAGGGTGTCGCGATGTTCATCAATAAGAGTCTGATAAAATGCGAACATTTCTTCGCGATTTTTAGCCACTTTCTCCTGTGCTTGAGCCTTACCGGGTAGATACTAAAAATATAAAAGTTATTAGATTTTTCTCTTAACGTAAAATATAAAACAGAATTTCTTATACTCTTATTTATGTACGTACATTATACAGTGGTATGTATTCTCCGTAATGTATTTCGCCAAACAGTCGCATGCCTTCTTCAATGAGATGGTTGAGCCTTTCAAAACGTAAATCTCCGTGACTGAAGTGTACAGACATGGTGATACCGCAGATTACGTTTGATACGCCCAAAGCGAGCATAGGGTTTGCGTCTATGGGCGCACCTTCCGAGCGTTGTAAATTCTCTATCAACTCGTAAACCTCACTCTGTGAATCAAAACGTTTTTATTAGAATGACTATTTCAGAGTTTAGGCCCATCAACGTTTCATTTAATTTGGATAAGGAATTTCACTTTTCCATTTTTTTTACTGACCTTGATTCTGCCTTCCATAATTTTCTTGCCGTTGCCCATGTAAGTCATGCCAAATTCACGAAGTTTTTCGTGTAGGAACCGGCGTTGACTTTTCCACAGACGACCTTCGCTGTTGATGATACCTGCACAGAGGTAGGCGTTAGTCGATTATGCATGTGGGCGGTGCTCGGTGTGATGCGCGGGTGGACTCGGCACGCGCCCTCAGGCAGCGCGTACGGTCAAGCCCTCTCGTTTACGTACAAAGTAACAATATGAAAAATAGCGATTGCTTAATAAATTATAGTTTACTTTTTAACGTTGCTTTGAAATAAAAATTGGCTCCATACCATGAACATTCATAACTATTTATTAAATAAATTTTTTTAAAATAAAATGAAAACTAGATATAACTATTAATGTCTACCCAAAAAAAAAAACATATTAGTTAACTTACCTAGACCATCCAATGTATGCATGAGTGGAGTACTAGGACGACCAGTAAACTCCTCCCGGCGAAAAGCTTCCCTAATAAGCTTGTAGTCGCTAAGAACGACTGTTAATTGATTGCCAAGCCGAGCCGAAAACAGAGCACCGTAGCTTCTTGCGAGCTCCAGGAAGGTTTTATGGCGAACACCAAGAAAAGGCAGGTAACCGACGACCGGTGGTCCCCATGGTCCCGGGGGCAGTTTGCGCATCTCCCGAAGCACAATCACCAAACGTGCAGCCAAGAACACGACGCCCGCTGTCAGCAAGAGAGGCAGCGTCGTCCGAGAACTGCAGTAGCTCACAATTTGCCACAGTCCCCACAACAATTTAGAGTTTGTGAATATCGTTAACATTTTTCTTCCCTTTAGTACAGAACAAAAAACAAATTTACGTGTCTTTGTGAACTGAACGTAACATTAGTGCACGGAGCGTAAATCGCGACAAGATGGTACCGAGAACTCTGTGACTGTATATCGCATGCGACCGACGCTTGCGCACTGGCGCGTCGCTGGCGTGGCCTTGCGAATAAATACGCGCGGGGTGGCGCGCGCGCAGGCTCGTCCCACCGGCGCTCCTCTCTCCGCCGCTTTTCCATTGCCCGCCAGCTTGCTACGAACCTCGTAGCATAGTCGTAGACAACTTTTAATTTCAGTCCCTTGGCGAAATGTAAAGAAACTTTCTATGTGTTATCCTATCACAAAATTATACTATGGACGATGGTTCTAGACATCGTAAATATTTGATTGTAGAAAAGTGTTTTTTTATGTTTTGTAGTTTGTTAAAAATTCAGTGCATGACTTGATTATGCGATTTATGCATTGTTAGTCTTGACTTTGATGATGACCTCCCAGCAGTACGTACAAGAATGCTTACTGATTCATGAGCCGACGTCAAATTCGGCGAGGGGTGAGAGGGGCTATCGAGGTCACGCGGGAGTGCATGCAGATGATAAGATTAACGAATTGCGTAAGTTGGCGCGAGGCAAGGTGACGGCGGGTCGTCGACTCGCACCTAAGAGCCTTGGGCGAAGTTCTACGTCGCTCGACCTCTAACTAATGACAATTAAAAATCATTTTTTTAATAAAAGTCTTTGAAAATTTGTATTTAACGCAATTCAAATTATAATTCAATGCTATCATTGTTTTTTATTAAACGCTTATAAAAAAACATAGTCTATTAGTATAAGAATATTATTAAGCAAAGTGGTTTGGTTTTTTATAACTTTGTTCAGTGGCTATTTTTTGTGATTAGATTAATAATTTTATAACTTTTTCCAAAAGTAAGTAAATTTTAAAACAAAGCAAGTATGAATTCAGTGCATAAATGGAATATTAATGTGAGTTTATGAAGCAACAAAAATAACATCATGCAATTTTTTATTTTAAAATAATATTGTAAAAAATATCATATAAATTATAAAATTTAAACGAAATTATATATATTGAGTGTATTGATCATTATCCTTTTGACCCAGATTCAGAATGTGTTGTCACCCCTGAGGACTAAGAATAAAATAAGAAGGAATGCCCCGTTTCCTTTAAAAATGGTCTCCAGTTCTTTACACTCGCTATACGAAAAACAGCATTAAGCTGTTGTCTCACGCTGGTATTCTGTGAAAGCGTGGTCCTTCCTCGCTCTAATCAACCCATTCGTGTTACAACCATAATATAGCAGCAGAGTAACGCTGCCACTTATAAACCGTATTTATATGAGGTAGAGTTAGATTTAACTGCAACCGATTGAAACGGCTCATGGATAAATATCAAAATTTTAATTATTACATAAAGTTGCTTACCAATCAGATCTAAAATTTGTTATCAAATGTGTTCCATCCTAACATATAGGACCTAATTTAGCGATTAATACTACTCAAGGAGCTAACATTGATTTTCAGTTATTAGTTTCGAGTCGGCGAGACGAGAAGAAGGCAATAAAATCTATCGTATGTATTGAATAGAACATCAGTGTACCTTTTTATTTTTAAAAAACTACATTATCTGAGTATACGAAAGAGGTTTGTATCATGTCGAAAATATATCTCTACTAATAACACCCGTCTGGGTAACAGAGGAAGATATAGTATGTGAGAGGATGTTGAGTGTACGCAGTTGCGTCACTCACACTCAACATCCTTACAAAATATATTATGTTCTAGTATGTTTTCCTTCAGCCCAAGCCCTTGGTGAACCCATGGCGTAAGTCGTAGGGCTGAATTTGATAAAATGACGCTGGTTTCACGTATCTACAAAATATATTTTTTAACCTTTCAGACATGGAGGTTTCCTTGCGATGTTTCCCTTCACCGAGAAGCACGTGGTATGGCACAGAACTATGTACTTAAAGATAACTACAACAGTATAAATTTCATGATTCATCAGCCAGATACATGATGTGTTATCACTATCAGCCTCTAATGTATGTATGTGTGTATTGTATATATGTATATACACGTGTGCTTGTGAATGTGTATGTGTTATTGTATGGGCCTCTCTCTTTTCAGGAAGGGTCACGACAATTGACATGCGATATGATATTTACAGTAGCAGAAGTTATGTCGTAGTACCAGGGGAACCATCTTCGCCCCTGCCTCCAGTAGGCGGTCTAGATAGATATATGAAAACAATAGTCGGTGTATGTCTTAGACCATTCAATTGAAATTTTAAGATAACAAGCTTGGCACTAAAGGAAAACATTGTGAGAAAATCTTAATGTCTAAGGTATAGCCAACGGAGAGAACCGTACCAGTAAGCGAAATCGATGGATGCAGGTGGCTTAGGAACGTGCTTTGTGGTATTCCTTGAGAAAGGCATATTTTCAGTAGAAGACTTGTGTAGGACTGTAATGATGATGAGGTGTCGAAGTAGTTCTTTACAAGTGATGAGCCTAAGTTCCCTAAATGATGATTATCCTATAACGAAATCGATGTTTCGCTAGATTTCGACGACCTAATTATCGCCGGCCAGTCATACATGGACACTTCACTCTTTCACTTAGTCACAACTCACTTCACTTCACTTAGTGCCACAAATACTGATAGGACAACGGATGGGATGCAGTAAGTCCACACATGAGCGCGCCGCACACCCCTCCACACTGCGTATCGCCGAGAACATCTAACGATACGAGTTAGCCATCAGAGCCGGGGCCCGTCAACCCCTGCTCGGACGGCCGTTAGATAACACACCCACGTGAAATGTATACCGAGGAGTCATTGTTACGCAAGTAAAGATGCCGAATAAATTAGATTCAATCTTTTACAGCCCGCGTCCTGAAAGACCCTGAGACGTGTGTAGCAATAAAAGCCAAAAGGCAGGCAAACCTGCTTTTTTATTTTACTTATTTATATATTTATTCAGCACTATTAAGATAGAAAAAATAAAGTATTTCTCATATTTAGAATTCTGTATTTTAATAAACTCTGTATTTTTATAAATGAGTCGTAGAAATCTGTTGCTGTACAAAAACCCTCAATTAAATACGGGTCAAAAACAGGCTAAGAACGCATCAATATTAAGTTTGAGCTACATCGTAATTAAAAAAAAAGGTTAAGCGAGGTCGAAATACTTGACCAACTTTTTGTATGTTTTTGAATGAAGATATCTAATAAATGAAAACGTGTTTTTAATTATAATACTGTTATTCTAAAAGTATGAAAGTTAAAATCTATGCGTTAATATTTTTCTTAATAGAAAATAAAATAAAACAATTTTAATGGGAGTAATTTACAATTTCCCTGTCCGAGAAATAGACACAAATATAGTATATATAATAGTATATTAAATAATGAAATTGTTCATAAATAATTCACGCGACTGGGAAAGGATAAAAATGGATTTGTGATTAAGGATTTCCTGGGTTCAAATGTTTACAAAGCATGCATTTACTTTAAAAAAAAATTGAGGGAAAGTTGTGTTTTGACTATTTTACCTTGAAATTTACAACCCATTTAGTTAAAACCTATATCTATCAGTTTAATAACCCAAATTTATGCAACGTAAGCTATTTTTATGACATATTAATTAGAATTAGAATTTATTTTTTACGTTTTTGATCACATTTATTTAATTAAATATATAAGAATATAATATAAGAATACGAGCAATTATTTTATAAAAACGCAATATACACCTAAGATCGCAATAATTATATTTGGAAAACAATATATTGACTTTAAAACATATTTTGATTAGATTTACGAGTCACGTAACATGACTGCATCGTGCACTAGTCTTAAAGATCAACGACCGTCCCTTATGGTCCACTATGCAGTTTGTTGGTTCATCTATCGGTTACATTGTGTGAATAGTAGGAAGAGTAATCAATTTTCAAATTAGGCACAGAGGAAGTTCGGTCGATTTTGTCTCTTTGAATAGTCTATAACTTTAAGATTATATTTACCCCCCCTAGTAACCTAGTACTTATTGTGATAGACAAATTAATGGTTTTTACATTAGTCCGTGGCCTAAGATAATCCGGCGCCCATGTTATCTCGTTTGTTCATCTTGTATTAAGGTTAAAGATACGCCAGGAAATTTTCATGATCTTCAATAGCCAGGACAACATTCCGACACCGAAATTATCCCCAGCAGAAGGTGTCTTCTCAATGACGAATTCATGTCGATTGCAATTTAGTCTCCAAATCTTCCTCCTTCTCCTCATCCTAAATCCTCTTAATTTTCCTTGGTGTATTGTTTCCAAAACTTAAATAAAAACATCCTATTCAGAAAACCTCCGTTGCCAATATTTATGGACGGTAGCGGCCACGCCCTCAGATGAGACGTATGTCCGTTTATCTCGTCTTGTAATGTAGCACCAATGCAACCCTTTTTAGCTAATCGAAACAATATGATGTATTTAAATTTTTAATGCATTAAGAACTTTAAAAACATGTTTATCAAATTCATATGTATTGACCATTGCTATTTCAAATATTTGATAAAAATAAAACAAATATTCTCTGGAAACGGACCGCTTATCAAGGCAAAGTCTATCATAAGTTATTGGTAATATGTCAATCTTATACGTCGTCTTAATCGCATGGTGAAAACAAACATTATAGGTTCTACATTTTAGATTTGAATTCAATATACAACAGTATATATCCTACTTTAATTTAAATATGACGTCAACACCTAAAAGTAAGCGTACCTCTCCATAGTTGAGTAAAATTTTATATTCAATTGCTAACGTAGCTACGCTTACGTTACGCTCATCTTTATTTTAGCTATAAATATTTTATCATTGGCTATAATTAATAATAAAATATCAATTATTAAAGTAGAGCTGAACACAAAAACAGTAACTTATACGTATTAAATTATTTTTAATTCTAATTAGCTAATTACATATAAGA